ACTATTTACTTTGTGATCAGATCTAGCTTTTGAATAGCATATCTTCCAAATAATTTTCCCAATCTCCAAGAAATGTTGATGTGCAACAAAGGAAACTTGATTAATGGTTTGGTACTTACATGGAAGGCAGTCCATGTTAAACGCACTCTTTCTCTATTTTTCCTTTCCCTCTAAGGTTAAGCCTCTTTCGATTTTAATCTGTATCTAAATCCTTAACTTTTGTACTTATTTATTATCCCAAATAATTAGATAGCTTAACTTATTTAGGTAGATTTTAAAGTTAAGTTCATTTTTAATTAAGCCATTTATGCTCATATGCTATCATCTTAGACCCATTAAAGGGCATACATTATTTTAAGGATGGTAATCTAATAATGCGAAAGTATTAAAGCATGTCGATGAATAAGGAAATACAAAAAGTAATATGATATTCAAGAAAAACAGCATGAGTCGAATTAAGAACAATACTTTACTCAGAAAGCTCAACAGACCATATTTAACTGGAATAATACACAAACAATTAGATCAAAACAAAATAGTCATCAATTCAAAAATAAATGCATCATAGACTGATATTCTGTGATTGAGAAAATAGTAGAATTTACACACAAAAGCTACTTGTGTTATTAACTCAAGCGAAGGTATATCAGTTAGACATCTTATATACAATACTTAAAAAGGATATAGCTTAATAAATGAGTCAACCAAACTAAGTGGCGAAAATGAAAGTTGCTAATGGCGATAAAAAGGACGAATGCCCCAAAACAACGTCCCACCAGAGCAGAATTGAAGCCTGTTTAAAATAAGAATTAATGACCTGTAAAATACATCACCGATACGCATCATGTGGGAAAATATAACATTGAGCCATTCATAATCATAATCGACCGAGGGTGAATACATCTATAATTATCATATTATTTTAAAGGCGAAAATTCAGCTATACACGATCAGGATAAGTTAAATACCGTGGATCACTAGTTAAAAGGATGTGATGATTTTATGAAGGCGGGCAAAAACTTCGATCCTGGCATTAAGTTTTGAATACAGGTATACTTATAGATAAAGTACAGAGTGTAAGGCCATCCCCACAATAATATAGCATATCTTATAAGTTTGCATTCTCTCAGCAAACGTTCGAAGCAATAAAGCTGTGAGAAATAGTTTCCAGAAGAGTTTATAATAGAAACCAATGTATAGAAAGGTTTACCAGATGAGTCAAAATGCAATACAAAAATGGACATTAATAGCTACACCGTCGTGTAAAACACATATAAAAACCTTAAAAACGTAAATTTTGGTGGCTTAAAATGTGTAACCTTCAACCCAGATATTCTTAAACTGTTGCTAAGGTAAAGCAAAATGATTCGAGCAAAAATACTAATTCCGTAGTCGAACTGGATAATATCAAAAAATATGTATTCTCGAACCTTCAGAATAATGCGCGGTGGGTATAAAATGATAGGTCTGAGATAAATTGTTTTAGGATATTCAATATGAGAAGGATTATTAAAAGAGCTTATGGAGATAAATTTTATTGAAACTAGCAAATGCAAACGAGGCAAGCACTGTTGTTATACCTAGGGGAAGTATAATTACAGAGTAAATTTATACGACTTATGGAATATTCTAGAAAATTCAAAATACCAAGTCTTTGTCAGGGCATTAAGTAAGAGAAAAACATTCCCTAGTATCCCTTCTTTCTTTTTCGGACTTTATGTACCTAATGGCAGGCATGAAGGTAAAAATACTTCTAACCAGAAATCCATAAATCTGTAAATTTGTATTCCTTGTGCAGTTTCGTTTGCAATGTGACAAGCAAGCAATAAATTATTTTGTGGTCGCACTTTATAAGCAAATCTCATAAAAATGGCAGAATATAAAAACAACGCTATATAAATAGGGTAGCATAATAATTACCTGTGGTCATTTTACCAGAAATCAGCTCTGGATTTTTTTTTAGATCACCGATGGCTGCCAAGGGCAACCCCCAATTAGCCATTGGTCCCCAAAAGTGCTACGAGAAATTAATTAAAAACATAGCCTACTGTGCTAATTAATTAATAATTTTAAAATAAAAAGATACCTAGTGATATAATCTCTAAACTCTTTTGTTTTAAGGTAATTTAGTAGACGCTTAGCCATTAGATTATAAGCGCTAAGAGCCTTAATGAGCGAGCCTTAGCACAATGAGATGCAAATCATATATTAAAACAGATATAAAGCTGTCAGATAGTCATTATCCATTTTTTAAATTAATCTTGAAAAATATTTTTATTATTAAGCTAATAT